GGGGTTCGGGGTTTGGGGGTTTCAGGTTTGGGGCTTGGCCTGCAGATCTTTGGTCCAATCCTTGTGAGCTTCCCGTTGGATCCCTTTCTACATGAGGGTCGATGCTCGAGAATTGAACCTGTGCCACCGAACACTCTGCACCGGATCGAATGAAGAAGAATAAAGCGATGTAAGCTCGCACACTGGCTCCTGATCAGCTCGCCCTGAACCCTTCGTATGTCAGTTACCTCTGCATCCAACACCGCCCCCTTGCCTAGCAGCTGGCGCGAGCACACGGGACAACGACACACCTGCTCCAAGACAAAAGGTGCGGTAAGGCCTGGAGTTCAGGGCTGTTTCACCAAACGAAAAGCCTTCATGTGACCTGGGGCTGTGCCGGTCTGCTCATTCAGACTTCTATCCCTGCGCAGGCGACACATGGTCTCGGGCACTCGTGAGCGCCACAGCCCTCCGGGCCCCTTCGCAGAGTACGCTAGAAAAGACGGGATCGAAGAAGTGCTGGGGCTCAGATGCCCCAAGGCCTCCTAGAGACTCCAAGACCCTTTAATCACGGAATACACCGCAAATTGATGTAGGGATCCTATTATGTTTAATAAGGGCCTCTTCCTTACTTAAGGGGCCCCTTGGAGTCTCTAGGCACGCAGTGGCCCCCCCCCCCCCCCCGAAGGCGCTCCGTCAGTCCAGGCCCCAACCGACAGAGCAGCTGTTTAAGCGGGACCTCCCTCTGAAGACTTCTTCTTCTTCTTCTTCTCATTATCGGTCTTCTTCCTATCACTATCATGACTATCTTTTCGTATTTTTTGTCATATATGATACTGCTCAACGGACCGGGCCAAAAGAAGACGCAGACCAACACTGACAGGAGCTTCGTCGAACCTCGTGACCGGCACGCTGCCAGGGCTCCAAAGCCCAAAGCAAATTCCGGGGCCCAGAACCTCAGAGTCCTAAATCCCCTCTGAATCTATAAAAGATAACCCCGAACACGCCCCAAACACCGAAGCCCTCGCCGTGAATACCTCTAAACCCCCTTTAACGGAAATGCACACATTCCGACCCCCCCCCCCCCCCCCCCGAAAGGCCTGGCCCTGAGTGCAGGCCATGGAAGCTCCATTTGCCCGGCTAGGCACCCGGAGAGAACGATAATTGGAGCTTTAAGGCTTTGAGGCTTTGCTGCTCAGGGCTCAGGTGCTTTCGGGCTTCGGGGGGCTTCGATATCGGAAAGGACATTTCGGTGCCTCTGTTTGGGTTCGGGGGGAGTCGTAGGCTGAGCTCTGGAACATACAACCACTCTGACTGAGATGGTTCTAGCTGCGCTGCACATCCGAGGCCGAATTTGAACCAAGCTCTTGGGGAAGATCGTGGATGAGATATCCAGACAACTGTCGACCTTAAGATAAGCGCCAAGAAGTTGGGTCCTTGCATGAGGACGCCTTAACCAGCCACCGCTGGTAGACGCAGCAGTTAATAAGAGCATGCGCGACTGCGACACCGATCCCAGGAAGGCTGCCCGAAAAAACGAGACAGGACCGTCTGTATTGATTGGGTTTAAGGGGTAATTCCAAGAGATTCCAAAATCCCCTAATTAAAAGTACTACCTTAAATTATAAGAGGATCCCTTATATGACTTAAAAGTATATTGTGTATTCCTTTATTTCGGGGTTTTGGAGTTTCTGAGGATCCTGCTCAGGGCTTTCTTTGACTCCAAAGTGGCATCGCTCGGCTCGTGGCAGTGCAGCTCTGGTGCGCTTCGTCTCAGTGTCTCCCTGGCAGGCTGGTGTCGAACAGCAGAAGTATAACCTAGTAGAATATGACACAAATTGAAAAAATATAGTATCATATGACACGATATAGTATCATGTGATACAATTTAGTACGTTATGGTATGATATAATCTAGCACAGTACAATATAGGATCCCCTAAAGCACGCCCTGGGAGATTTCGGGGGGGATTTCGGTCTGGGGCTCCCGGCTCATGGTTCCCACCAGGGTCATGTTGGAGGTGGTGATGTTCGGCAGACGGTCCATGTCAAGCTCCTCCCAAGGGGACTGTGAACAAAATCGAAAAGGCTGCAAAAAGGCACCCTTTGGCAGGCTTTCTTCGGATAAGGCCCGAAATCAGGAAAACAGCGTGAAGTCGTCAGGATGAGGATGGGACGGATCTCTGCAACTCCCTGAAGCAGAAGATTGCAGCGCTGCGCGCGGCTCCTACTTCCCGTCCTGCCTTGCTGGTCAGACACGGGCTTGCTTAGGTCCAATGCTCACGCTGTATAGCTTCCCCTAGAGATCAAGGCTGAAACGCAGGAAAGCCGAGCAAGTGCACTCCTTGAGCATGTCGCGGGTGTCTTGGTCAACCTGCTTCTTTCGCTATCGTCACAAGGGTTCAGGATTTTGTGCATCGGGGATGAAGGCTGTACGGTCAAAAGGGGGAGTTGGATGAGCTGGAGGTTCCTGATCATGAGCCGATCATGCATCCCGGCCTGGATGAACTCTGTGTTCACCTCGGACTGGTCAGGCACAAACTCCATGCGCCTTTCACGCTCCTCCTCCTGCAACTTCAGGGAAATGCCACGAACAGGGCCCTTCTGGATGCGCTTCATCAAGTGCGTGGTGAAGCCCGCGATCTTGTTGCGCAAGCGCTTGGAAGGGACGGTGGCCACCTCCTCAGTGATCTTCTTGTTCACTTGGAAGTCCAAAGTGAGCTTGCTGTAGTACTTCTCCACGATGACCCGCGCGGCCTTCTTCACGGTCTTGGTGCGGACACGGCCCATCTTCCACTCTGCTACCTGCCAACTAGCGTGCTTGTGCCACTTACCTGCGGCGCAGAAGCAGCCAGCCAATTCAAGCTGAACGGCACATGTCAAATACGGAATAAAGCAGTGGGCTCACTCTGAACGAATTTGCCCCAGTCCCAACTTCTCCTGGCTTCAACAACCTACTGTACTCACAGCAGAATCCACCACGCGCCCATGAATCTGCTCATGACATGCGCACAGCGACCGCCTCTTTTCTCGCTTTGTGGCAGACCTCCTTGACCTTCGGACACCACCCTTCTACCTGCGGCCTCGGTCCGATTCAGAGCACTACAGTGGCAGCAAGGTTTAAGGATTTACAGGCTCCTCGTGCCACGCAGTTGTGCATCCGTGTAACTTCATGCCCTTTCAACGTGGATGCTCTGAGTTCAGGGCCCATGGCGACTCCGGTGAGGGTCACGTTGGAGGTGGTGATGTTGGGCAGGCGATCCATCTCCAGCTCCTTCAGCATGTCCCTGGTGTCAGGATCCACCTGGCGTTTTTGAGCACGGCTCCAATGGGGCATCAGGAGGGCAGGCTCGTAGCCGGAAAAAAACAGGTACGAAGACAGTCCGCGATGCAGAAGCCGATCACGAGCCACTACACCCGGATCCGGCCTGGATGAACTCTGTGTTCACCTCGGACTGGTCAGGCACGAACTCCATGCGCCTTTCACGCTCCTCCTCCTGCAACTTCAGGGAAATGCCACGAACAGGGCCCTTCTGGATGCGCTTCATCAAGTGCGTGGTGAAGCCCGCGATCTTGTTGCGCAAGCGCTTGGAAGGGACGGTGGCCACCTCCTCAGTGATCTTCTTGTTCACTTGGAAGTCCAAAGTGAGCTTGCTGTAGTACTTCTCCACGATGACCCGCGCGGCCTTCTTCACGGTCTTGGTGCGGACACGGCCCATCTTCCACTCTGCAAAACCTGAGTCAAGCCTGATGCTACCACAACCTCGGGGCCAAAAGAGCGTGCAGCACGCAGGCTACGTACTTCAACATACGTCGTACAATCCGGACATGCTTCCTTCATCTGGGCGCAAACCAGCAAACAAACACACAAACAAACAATACCCTAATCTCCGCTGCTTGTGGTCATTGCTCTACATCTGTTCCCATCGTCCTTCCCTCTTTGGTTTGCCATCGACCGTGGCTTGAAGAGATAGCCGGCGGAAACGAAAGACCGCCTAGACGATGCTGAAGGCTGAAGGAACCTTTCTCTGAAAACAGAAAAAAAGGCGAGAAGCTGCCTGGCAAGGCTTGCGACGGAAACCAGTTTCTGTGAGACACCAGAGGCACCACCCGAAGGAGAGCCTATCAAGGTGTGGAGTGCACAGGTTTCAGGTCGCGGCACATCAGAAGCTGACAGCACTGGCATTGGGCAACATCAGCTTTTTGCATACTCGCCGTGGCTCATTGGCTTGCCTTGGCACCACGCGTTGCGACGAACTGCTGGAGTTCATAGCGCAGGCACCGCCAAGTGAGACTCCTACTGGCTGCCATTCTCCAACTTCGACTTCAAGTACTTGATGGTCGACTGAATCTCCTGCTCAGTCAGCTCCCTGTTCCAGGTGATGACTTCCATCACTCCGAATGCCGACCACTCGCCGTGGCCCCGGTTGACGTACAAGTGCTCGTCGTTCTCGAACTCCTTTCCGCTTTTCCTGGCAATGTTCGTTGAAGGATCCCTGCCGTCGTACACCTGCTTGTTGCTGGTGCCGCAAAGCACCACCCAGTCTTCCTCTCCTTGATGCCGTGTGGAGGCGGTGTTCCATTCCCCGTAGTAGGTCACACCCGTGTTCCCGCTCCAGTGTCCGTGCAGCCAATTTAGGTTACCCCCCCCGTGTCTGGGAGAATTCTTCTCTTCTGGCCACCAGTATAACGGCTGACGGAGCAAATGCTGTACTTGCCTCTGGGGAGGATCGCACCGAAGTCGAAGTGGTCGCCGGTGTCGCCCTTCAGGAATTTCACCTTCTTTTGTGCCCCGTGCCCTTCTGCTATCTCGATCTTCAAGCCGCTCCCCGTACCCGTGCCCTCGAAGTTGCCCACCTTGCTTACCCAGGAGGAGGTCGAGGCATCCTCGCTCTTGAACCACTCTAGCTCTAGCATCCAGACGGTCATGTCATGTCATGTCATGTCTTTGAAATCCCGATGATCCTGTTCATTTTGGCGGCTACGATGCTACGAACAGTGTTGCGACTATGGGTACCCAGTGCCGTCGTATTGTTCCTCCTCTCATCAATGTCCGGCGGCGCTATTGTCTCTACTGTGCTTGCTTGCTGCAGCCCTACGGATGACAGCCACGGCGTGATCATAGCTCTCGTGGTGCCTGTTGCGACGATGATGAAGATCAGAAAGATTACCAATAAAAATGATGACAATAAATATAATCATCGTAGAAATAGCATGACGATATTGATGATGATGTTGATGATGATGATGTTGATGATGATGATGATGATGATGATCATGATGATGATGATGATGATGATCATGATCATGATGATGGCGATGACGATGGCGGTAATGATGAGGATACGGATGCGGATGCGC